TACGGTTGCACGTACATTTATGGGAAGCACGCTCGATCGTTCGAACGGTCTGCTTTTTCACCAGGTCGTGTGCGGTAGTATTGGATGTGGCTTGGTCGCATCGGCCGAGCGTGCACGCGGATCATTCGTGCGCGTACGCGTGCACACACTGTTCGTTTGCCCACACGTGCGCACTAATGATGAGAACCCGTGGGTTGGTTTTTAGGACGAGCAGTGTCGACCAGTGAGTCCGCAAAGCAGGTCACTAACTCATTCATTCATTCGTTCAATCACTCAATAGTCAGTACACCCATACGACCGCACATTTACTCGATCAGTTCGCCTGTCTGTTTGTCCATCGGGCAGTCACTCGATCAGTCGGTCAGTCAGTCATCAGTCAGTCAGTCAGTCAGTCAGTCAGTCAGTCAGTCAGTGAATCAGTCAGTCAGTCAATCAGTCAGTGTCAGTCAGTCAGTCGGTCAGCTGCAGTCAGTCAGACAGTGAGTCAGTCAGTCAGTCAGTCAGAGTCAGGCAGTCAGTCAGTCAGTCAGTCAGTCAGTCAGTCAGTCAGTCAGTCAGTCAGTTAGGGGAGTCAGTCAGTCGCTGAGTCAGCTGCAGTCAGTCAGGCAGTCATTCATTCATTCATTCATATGTGTCAGTCAGTCAGTCAGTCAGTCAGTCAGTCAGTCAGTCAGTCAGTCAGTCAATCAATCACTCAATTAGTCAGGGAGTCCAACTGGCAAGAATGCAGATAGACAGCTATGCGGCATCTACTCAAGAAGTGGAGAAGCGAAAAAACGAAGAAAAAAACAGTGCGGGCATCCAGCTTCGCCCATATCAACGACAAGACATGAGTTCGGATACGCGCATGAGTCGGACAGTGGACGAATTCAAACTGAGATGAGAACTACCAACGACGGGAGGAGTTATGGTCAAGTAGTATCCGGAACCGGAGCGGAACGTTTCCTTGTTTTGGACTAAGAATCTATTTAGTTGGATGATAAAACTACAAACCATTTGATATGAGAAAGGTTAGCTTAGAAACCTAAACGTAGCGTCATCAAAGCGGTTCAGACAACAACCAAATGGGAGAATCAAACGGACCGAATAAACAGCAATAATCACTCAATTATACTTATCCTCTAAGCTCAGGGAGATGAATTGTCTTTTCGTTAAAAAAGGACGGGACAAGGAGGTACAGCCCTGCAAACAGTTATCGTCGTCAAACAAGGGCGATGGTAATGAAATGAAATGTGGTCCGGATCATCGGAATCAACATACAATCCTATGAAAACCTTTCGGAGTTTTGCTACTACCGGAAAGTAATAAGTGGTTCAAATCTGAGAGAATCATGAAAGTACAGTGTCATGCTCCGTTGAAAGCCTTGGGTGTGTGAGACACCCTCCGTCCCATTGGGATCACGTTGCATTCCTCACCAACGAAATGAAAGAAATCTCAGTGTGAACCGAAAAAACACCGGACAACTTGGCCATCCTNTGGGGGGGGGGGGGGGGGCCGTTACGGCAATGCAAACTTCTTCTTTAGGTTCTTGTTTACAGTAGGCTAAACCAAAAAGTATCGTGCTAGATTATCGAAACCAGTCGGTCAAGCTACAGATCGATGAACGTGTAACGCACAGAGAAGGGTCCTGATTCACAGCCTCAAAGGTTGGCGGATCGTGTTGTAGTAGACAGCCGAAAAATGCTATTGAGTTTCACGACTTCTATCAGACGAAGGAACACGAAGGAACGAGTGACATGAGAAGAAAAAACTGAACAAAGAACCCCTGTTGTGACGATCACCGTTACCAGATTGGTGAAACGGAGATAGTAGCACTATTCCGAGATTGACTCGTTGCAGAACAAAAGTGAAAACGGCTGTTGTGGGAGTGGTAGCTTGTTTTCGTCCTAGATACAGACATTATAAAGTGGTTGTCAGGATACCAAAGGAATGCTCCTTGTACAAACAAAATACATAGATTGAAGATGACGACCGGTTGCTATGACGGAGATCCCAACGATTTTTTTCTCTCCAGCACTGCACAAGTGACAAATTTTCACAAAACACAACTCGAAGACCTATCCTTTCTCAATATACTCCTCTTGGGGCAGCTTCATGGTACTACTATGTAGTTGTAAAACTGTCACAGTATGAAGACGATGACTATCTGGGGTGAACGCATCCAGAAGGATATACTATTTCGTACACTTATTCTGCAGTGTTGTGTGAACGATCGATGTACGTGTATCAATGTGCTTACAGAGTCTACGATTCAGTTTTACCCTCCGATCAACCGGTGTAGAGTGAAAGTTACATGTTCGGTGCTTGTTGTCCTAATGGGACGTGTGTGTTTGTGTACATCACGCAGACAATTCGAGATTAGCACGTGATGCCTATTGCTAAACGTGTGATGTGGATCGCGCGAGCTTAATTTAAAAAGGTGCAACAGTGTGTAGCAGAAAGACAGGATTCGTGTGATGGTATGTTACGTGAGGGTAGTCTTGTCAATGCACATCTGAGACAACAAGCATCTACTTACGCACCTCTTCATTACCTTTTAACACTTGTGGAGCAGTATTCACACCGAACCTGTTTAACATAGATCACTGGCATGTCCGATGAGACTATAGATTCAATCTCGCAAAAGCGTCTAAAAACTTCAATATGGTCAGAAGTGGGTGCCTCGGGTTGTGGCTGGTCACACTTCCCTTGTACCTCGAGAAGTGCCCCTATACGATCAAGCGTCTCAAATAGCTTCTGTTGAGAAAGCCCCACTCGGTGCCTTTTCGTAGCGGAGGTGTCTTCCAATCAAAGTGAAAGGATGAAAAACCAATTTCCGGGGCTATAACCGGGTTGGTGAATCACAATTGGTTTACCCAGAAGAGTTGGCTAACAACCCTGATTCCAAACCAACCGAGAAAAAGGTGTACGAACCACGCACAACATCCGGGTAGCGGTTCACGACTCTGTTATTGAGGTGTATTGTGTCCTTAGACACTTGACCCCGCACAAAAGGTGTTCCGATCCGATGAACTGCACATCGCCCGAAATGGATTACGGTTTTCACCACACCGTATACATATNATATATATATATATATATATAGCACTTGCGACCAGGTGTTACAGTCAGCTTTAAACATCGAAATTGCGAGGTGAGCTTTATTCGAACTCATGAATGATCGCAAATCCGGTCATATTAATGGCAAAGGATATCCGGAATGAAGATTACGTAAAATTGTTCACCAGAAACAGACGAAGTTACTGTAAGTTCCTAGAAGAAATGAAAAAAATCAATTGCATACGTAATCAATAAAGATCAATCTTGATTACGAGTCAAACAGCTGAGGGATCAATATCATGAAAAATTGAGCGTTCAGAAGATATCCATATTTTTCTAGTGTTGTGGTGAGGGATGTAGTTGATGATGATGCAATCCACTGTTTCCATTTATCTGCCTCAGAGCACACATAATCATAGTTGTGCGCCTTTCGCCCGTGAACTGCATCGGACGAATTGCGTATGCAGCAATCGCAATCAGTAACGAATTCACATGGCCTTTTCACAACTGGACTACAGCAAAGCGATCGATTGCATTCAAGTTCGACATCGTGAATTCGACTACGAGTAAAACACTGCTAACAATGGACAGTCACATGGGAAGAGGGTTCCTTTTTCGAGTGCGCGAGCGCAACGATTTTGTAGCCCAAATAACGATCTATTGCCAGTACTATCGTTTGTACAACACCCCCGGGCAAGGATCCCCTGCTTTCGTTAGTAGTGGATTGTTTAACAGTACCACGTTCCGTTTTCAGGCTCGCATGCAAGGACCCACTTGTATAACCGATCGTAGGTGAAACCAGGTTCATAATTCCCGGTAGAATCAGGAAAATTTTTTACTTCTGTTCAGGTAGACAACTTGTGATTTTTTCGTTAGCGGACAGGGAAAATGCGCCTACTCACATGTGATAAATACGACCACCACTGTCTATATATGGAGTTACTGTGTTCTTCTCCTCCCCCCTCCCCTCCCCTCCCCTCAGGGCATGCAAACATGTGCACCACGATCAGCAGCACTGTGAAGCGATTTTCACTGATCGCTGTCACGCTAACAATGTGGATCGAGCAAACTGAACTAATATGAGATCAATGTGAAGTGGGACAATCTGACGGGAAGATTTAAGTGTTAGCTTTTACAATCACTAAACGTGCTCATTTGTGTGGTGGTTTTCCTTGTTCT